TGTATTTATATCACATACTCCTTCATTTTTTACAAGACTTCTTAAAAAGAAGAAAACAATATTTGCATATTTTAGAAATTTGATTTGTTTCAATTACTTGTTATTTTTTAATATTAGAATAATTGTACATCAAAACCTCCATTAATGACCGCCTTAACGACCTCCGAAGTACGGCCGAATGTTTATAACATCAAAAGTCTTCTTAAGGACTAAATAGCGATTTCTGAACAGTGGCCACTTGATGCTAGCATAAATTTTGTACCACGGTGTATCGTAGTTTTCATTTTGTGCTTGCATTAATTTTAACTGATCATTACTAAATACATTTCTCTCTCCCATATGGGTCATTACATTCAAGATATTTATTGTTAACTCCTATAAATTCGGTCACAGACTTGGCAGTTCGATTGCATTATTACTGATAAGCTGCATCTTTTAAGGTGGTCGCCAAGAGTTGTAGGAATCTTGTTCCATAGAAATTTTTAAGCATTCATACAGCAGGCAATCATAGTGTTGATAGTTCAATTCCTGCTACTACAAATAAGGTGCATCTTGGGGGGTTTCAGCCATTCAACCATTTTCGGCATGAGGCAACTTTGCCTGAAAAGGCTAAAAATAAACTATTTTCAGGAAAAGGAGACCAGTGGGAGATTTTTCTGTACTACAAGTGATGTGTTTTTAATCATAAATTAGGTTGAAAACCTGTGGCCTGCTGGAGTTTCTGAAAACACTGAAGTTTTTTTTTCTTAAAATAAAAGATTTTAAAAATTTTGAATTGCAAATTTGAGTTATAACTTTTTAATTTGTTCAATTTGCACAGATTGCATTGTGAGTCTATTTAGTTTCTCAATCCCTTTTTTAATGGTTATTGCTATGAAAGTCATGATTGTAAAAAAACCCAATTTTTAATACCATGCGTGAATATCGAATTTGAGTAATCACTTTTCACAATAAATGTATGTTTGTATATATATATATATATAGCATAATAAATAAATACAAAAAATACAAAGAAAATTAAGAAAAACAATAAGTTTTATTAACTTATACAGTAGAGTCCCGATTATCCGAGTTAATGGGGACCGCAACAAACTCGGATAACTGAAAAACTCGGTTAAAGCGAAGAGTATAAAAACGGAAAGAAAAAGAGAAGATATAAATGTAATATATTTAAGAAATACGAAATGTAAACGAGTATATCACATACAATTCAGATTATAATTAAAAAGCTTACTTAGAAACATTTAAAAAGCATACTTTACGAGAATTAAATAGTTTTTACTTAAAAAAAGTCCTTAATCGTTTTTCGTTCTACGTAACTTATGGCGCTTTTCTGTAGTTATGTTTCGCCTTTTTGAGGAATAACAGGAAGGCTGGTGTCGCCTCTTTTTGTTGTTCTATATATTCAATAGTACATTCGATAGCTTTTAGTCCATCTGTAAGAGAGATTTTTATATGTTGATTTTAATAATCACTGTCTTGATCATCTTCACTAGATTCATTATCATTATTGGCGATATTAACGATAATCATCAGACCAAGTTGTTGGATTTTGTTTTTCTGAGTGTTTGGAAGATAAAATTCAGATTTATTTTTCAGCGGTTTTTTTAAAAATAAACTAGAACAAAAAAAATACTTGAAATATTTGATAGCTCGGTTAAGGTGGAAACTCGGATAACCGGGGCTCGGATAATCGGGACTCTACTGTATATATATATATATATATTTGCTAAATCAATTATTGATAAAAGGGAAAAGTTTTTTAAATGAAAAAGTATTTTTATTAAATGAGTTCTAGTAATTTAAAGTATTTTATTTCCTGCAAATATATTAACTCTCTTGATGCAAAAATTAAGTGCTAGAACACTCATGTTTATATAAAAATTATCATATTTGCCACCAACTTGACTAAATGGATCATGGTAAATGACAATTAAGGCATTTAATAAAATTTTAGTCTTANAAAAACAATTTACGGTGTTAAATTTCGTTATTAGGGTACCCTTCCCGTAAACGGACAACTCTCATAAACGGACAAATTTTTTGGTCCCATGAATGTCCGCTTAACGGAGGTTTCACTGTACTAGATTTTGGCAATGATTTGTAAAACTCAAACATTGGCATATTTAGAAACAACTGCATCAGATGATTGCTAGATTGTCCTCTCGTTGGAGCTTAAAATGCACAGTCTGCAACATGTGAAGCATAATTCACCTATATTAGATTCCATAAGTTTGCTCCTCGAGAAAGACAAACACCAATCTACAGCTATTCTATAATGAACTTCTGCTTTCAACATTTTATCGATTGAAGCTCTCTGTGCTATTTCCATCAATTTATGTCTTGTAGAACAAAAATAGAGAAAGTAAAAAGGTCATCAGTACTTTGTTAAAAAAGAAAGAACATAAATAGCTTTAAACAAACTCGACAAGAAAATAGATGCATATTTTTTATATTTGCCCTGGATCGTCAAAGTTAAAATTCCATCCGCGGGCCGGATGAAACCTTCCGACGGGCCACAGTTGGCCCGCGGGCCGTAGTTTGCCCATCTCTGGTACAGGTGATAAAAAGTGGATTAAGTTAAACTTCTACTCAATTAAAAAGTTAGTTAAAATTTTACGGGTCTGTTAGGATGAGAAATTGTTACATGCATAAGATTAAAAAAAAAGAAAAGAAATTATGTGTCATTAAAAAAATGCCACCAAGGCTAATTTCTAAACCAAAAACAATTTAGTTGTAATATACAAACTATATTTTAAAATAAACAATATCTATAACATTTTTTAATTATTATACAAAAAATGGGGTAGTTAGGAAAAAAAATTCATCTAGAAATTAAAAAAAAAATATAGTTTCCAGTTTATTGTACCACTACACAAAAACCCATTTTAAAATGACAAACAAGTTTTGGTTTTAAATTATGTGTTTATGTGGTTTTACTTAAGGTAATATAAAAATATCAGTCATACAAAGATGTTTCTACAATGAAAAAAAAATTCTTATGAAACTGTTTAGTAGTTCTTTAAATTTCTAAATAAATTTAAAAAAAAAAAAATTAAATATTATCTATGACGTTTTCTTTCATTTACTTATTAATGATTGATTAACAGAAAAAATATTGAAATATTTTCTCTGAGTGTTTTTAAAATGTGAAGAGACGGCATTCACATTTTGTCACAAAATTTTCAAACTTTTTTTCATTGATTTGTATATTTAAGAAACTATTAAAAATCAAGTTAATTATGAGATTATATAATTTTTCCAAATGGACTTACGGAAAAGTTAATATTCTGAGAAAATCATCCCAATATATACAAATTGCAAAAAATGGCTAAATTTATGACTAAAAATAACATAAGGAAAATCTTGAAGTATTTTTTTTTATAATCTAAAACTTATTTTAGTTTTAATAATTAGCCATGGTGGTTCAGAGGATAGAGCAGTCGCCTCCCAACGAAATAACCCAGATTTTAATCGAAGTGAAGCTAGTTGATATGAATCTCACACCAACCACAGTGCAGACGTAAAATATCCTCAGTGGTAGACAGATCATGGGTTAAGAGTTCTTTTGCCATGAGGCTAACTGTGGGAGGTTTTTATGGTTCTCCATGTAACGCAAATGAGGGGTAGTTCCATCAAAAAGTCCTCCGTGAAAGCAAATTTCTCCCAATGCTTGATCCAGGAGTTCCCTTGTCTTCTGTATTGGGTTCAAAATTGCAAGGCAATGGAGTTGAACACTGGTAGTTGTAAATTCAAAATTGTGTCAACTGTTAAAGACAGTTATAAAATAATACTGCTTCATACATATTTGTGGCTATTTGAAAGGAATTTTTTCAATGCTACATTGAATGCAACTTTCACCATTTTTCAAAACCAAATTTTGATCAATAATATGGATATCATTTTTCATCTTATGAATGGCAGAATGTTTTTGAAGCGATTCCTCTGAAAGAAATTTCGATGAGCATGTATCACACTCAAAAACCAACACTGTGTCCTCCTCACGAATACTAGAATGGGCTCTGAGAGATTTCTTGGAGATGAATTTCTCATCGCAAACAGTGCAACGATAAAGCGACGTATCTTCGTGCAATCGCATGTGTTTTAGAAGATTGCCTCTCAGTTTAGTACTCTTTCCACACAGGTTGCAAACGTGCGGCCTCTCAGAAGAATGTATAGTCATGTGCGATCGGAGATGCGTCCGTATTGCGAAACTCTTTCCACACACGTCACATGTGTGTGGCTTTTCCTTGGTGTGGGTCAAGAAATGATACCGAAGTCCAGTAGGATGACCATACTTTTTCCCGCACAACTGACAAATAAAAACTTTCTCTTTCGAATGTGAGTGACGATGATTTCTGAGAGTGCTCTCATCGTTAAATTTTTTTTTGCAAATGTCACACTCGAAAGGTCTTACATCTGTGTGAGTCAAGAGATGCCTGTTCAGAGTATTCTTAACGCCAAATTTTTTACCACAAATTTCACACTCGAATGTTTTAGCAGCTTGTTTTAATTCATTACTATGAATACGATAATGATTTTCTAAACCGTATTTTGTTATGAGCTGTTTTCCGCAAATGTGACACGAATACGGCTTTTTATTTGAGTGGACCAACTTGTGTGACTGAAGTTTCCTTTCTTCCTTAAAACCTCTCTTACAAATGTCACAAGAAAAAGGTCGCACATCTGAATGTACTTTCAGGTGACTAAAGAGTCTATGTCTTAATTTAAAAGTTTTCTGACACATTTTACATTTGAACGGTTCTTTATCAGAATGAACAATTTGATGTTTATTGAGGTAAGACCTTGTTTTAAAAGCCTTCCCGCAAGTCTGACAAATGCATGGAGAATTGGAAGCGTGTGTGATTAAATGCTGTTGAAGGCCCTTAACACTCTTAAATCTTTTTTGACACACATTACACTTTGAAAAGTTTTGTTGATTGGTAAAATCCACTTTCCAAACAAGAAAGACTGGAGTTAATTGTTTCTCTTGCATTTTTATAAAAGCATAAATGACTATTTTTTGAAGTTTACCAATAGGTAATGATTTTCTATTCTTAATTATTTATATATATATTTTGTTAAGAAAAAAAATCAGACTTTCTATAAATTTTTCATTTATGTTTTTAATTTAAATCGATTTATAATAAGCTTCATCGACCACTCTAAACTATCTATTTCTGCTTGATTAAAAACAAAATACTTGATATCGGTTTACAGAAATAATCTGAGTTCTTCCTCTAAGGGACCGTTTACACTTTATGACATTACCGCAGCTCCGATAGTCGTCGCAAAAATAAGAGAGCGTGATTGGTGAGTATATCATGGGTGGATATATTTCGCCAATCAGATTCTCATTTTCCCCTGATTGAAGATGCGTAAATAGCATGCAATCCGAACAACATTTCGATATCTCAGCATTATCTCAATATATTCATTACAAAAGTCGGGCAGAAGTAGACAGCAAAAAATGAATCTTGTTTTTGTTTTCATCAATATTAATAAAAACTGAATATCCACTAAAGCTAATAGAGAATTCTTTATTTTAGAAAAATGCAAGCTGAGCAACTTAATCCAGTATTAGTTGTTTGGAAAGTTGATTTTAACCGCCAACCAAAGTATTCAAATTGCACCGTTTGTCAGAATGGTTTTAAAAGTGTCAGGGATCTAGAAAAGCACTTGAAGACGCATTCTCCGATTGTCACCTATCCGTGTCAGATTTGCGGGAAAGTTTTCAAAACTAAGTCTTCTCACCGGAAACATCAAATTGTTCACTCTGATAAAAAACCGTTCCAATGTGAAGTTTGTCAGAAAGCTTTTAAATTAAGAATTGTACTCCTAAACCATATGAAGGTTCATTCTGACGAACGACCTTACCCATGTGATGTGTGCGAGAAAAGTTTTAGAGTTGCTGGCAGACTTCGCTGGCATAAACGAATCCATGAAAAGGAGACGCCTTACGCCTGTCACATTTGCGGCAAGGAGCTGGTTTCAAAGGAGAGTTTAAAAAGTCATTCCCAAATTCACAACACCGAAGCAAAACCAAATTTTCAGTGTGATGTTTGCGGAAAAAAATTATCTACTAAAATAGTTCTCAAAAGACATCTTTTAATTCATGCCAATTTGAGAGATTTCGAATGTGATGTTTGCAAAAAAAGATTTAACGATCGAAGTACTCTTCGAAATCATTGTCAATCACATTCAAAAGAGAAGGAATTTGCTTGTCAGTTGTGTGGTAAGAAGTATAATCATAAAGGCTGTCTTCGCTATCATTTTATGACCCACACAAAAGAAAAGCCACACGTGTGTGACGTGTGCGGTAAAGGTTTCCCAGTGCGAACACACCTTTTATCTCATGTTAAAATCCATTCCCCCGACAGGCCATTCGTTTGTGAAATATGCGGAAAAAGTAGTAAATTGAGATGCAATCTTACGAAACACATGCGACTGCACGGAAATGTGATCATCTTCGATTGCAACGTTTGTAGTGAAAAATTCATCTCGAAAAAGTCCTTGAAAATACATTATAATATTCGTAAAGAGGCAAATGTAGCGTGTTTTGAATGCGAAATTTGTTCGTCAAAATTCCTTACGGAAGAATCGCTTCAAAAACATTCTGCCATCCACAAAATGAAAAATGCTGCTCAAATTTTTGATCAGAATTTTGTTTTGAAAAATGGTGAAAGTTTAATTGAATGTAGCTTTATAAAATTTCAGGTTTCTGCTAAGTAACTATATGTGTATTTTAAAGTTACTATCACACAGTTTTTTTTATTATAAAAAATTATTGCTTAGCAGGGTTGGCATGATTTAAATCACTTTATTTTAATCATAATCACTTGACTCTAGTTAAAAATACATTGATTTAAATCAAATATGATTTTTTTAAAATCATTGATTTAAATAAATTTAACTTGTTTTAAAAAATTGAAATCTGGAAAAAAAAGCTAGTTTAGAATATTTTTTGTACAATATAATTAATAAATATGCATATTCTCTAAGGGATGATTTTTTTAGTCTTTTTTTTTTTTCATTGATAATAAGAGTTTTTAAAAATTAATAATGAGAGGGAGATGTATGGAAAATATTTTATTTCAAAATAGACTATTTAATAAAAACTAAAAGTGGCATGAATTTTTTCCACTCATCATATTTTCTCACGCCCTAGTGGCTGTGCTTAAATTGCCCCTCTATCTTTAAAATTCTTTTTTTGGTCTGAACAAAAATAACCATAATTTTATTTATTCAGCGACTAGTTAATAATTTCTGTGAGAAATATTAATCATTTTAGCATATTGTTTCATAGATACATATTAATTTTTAGCTATTTTTTTTAAAAAAAAAGATATAATTAAAAAATAGATTTCAATCAAAAAATTTGAATATTTTTTTAAAATCATAATTTTTGCCGACCCTGTTTAGTATCAGAGTTACCGCGTATTCACATATATTAGACTAAAATTTTTCTGTTATTATGTGTCACAGTATAACTTTGTTGACAAACAAGTTTATATTTATGTTGCATAAAAGCAATCTTATTAACACTATTCAAAAATGAATTAAAAAAGAAAAAGATTTTCTGTAAAACACTGAGGCAGTATTCGTGTATTTCAAACATTCTTCAAGCCTGCACTTTATGTGATATGATTTTTAATAATTTTTTAAGTGTTTTTATCTTTCATAACTAATTATTGGTTTTAATTCTTAAGATTCTTGTTGATTAATAATAAATATACATGCATATAAACTAAGGTACTCATCCCTTTTGCCAATGCAAGTAAATTCAGCCAATATATTTATTTATTCAATTTTGTATTTATTCAAAACAAAAAATCTATTATTTTTTTTATTGGCAACTTAATTGCTTGCGCCGATGAAGTAGATAAATACCAATTATGCAGATTGAAAGAACTATTTGAAAAAATATTTTGTAGTAGTTAAAAATCTTTTAAAAATTTTAATTTTCATTGACTTTGTGTATTTTAATTATTTCAGATTTATATTATTATTAAAATGGGAAGAATTTTCATGTTACAATATACCTAAAACAAATCAGTTAACAAGTTGTGGTGGACAACCACAGAGTGACAAATAAGAATAATTGAAAGATATCAATGAATTTGATAATCCACTCCTTGATATTTTTAAGAATTTATTTCAAGTACTAGAATCAAGTAAGTTTTCTTGCGAATTTTCGTTGGAACAGAGATTGATGTGGGAATATCCAGTAGTAATTAACTTCTAATCTATCTAATATAATAATCTATTTTAATTGTTGTCATTATTCTTAGAGAACTGCAATAGAATCTAAAAGCGGGTATATTAAGAATTATTATTATTTTTTTTTTGCAATATTTTTGTTGAAGTGTAAAAAATAATATCCCTTTCAGTATTAAAGTATGTGTATTAAAATATTTATAACTTATTTATGATTAGTAATTCTAGAGTAGCACACCTCTTGGCGACTTTTTGAAATCTCTCCAAATTGGTGATTATTACTGGGATAAACGTTGCTTTTCGATTGTTAAAAAAAATGATTACAATGTTAATTTAAATGATTATTAATATATTAAAATATTTTTAATAGAATAAAAAAAATCTTAAATTTACTCTGATGGCTCATTGTTTGACACAGGAGGGTAAACCTCTCCTAAAATTCTGACAAACATCATGTACCGCCACATTCAATCCACGTTTTCAACATCTCCATTCAAAACCATCCACTGTATCCTTTCGCTCAATCAAACATTTAGGGCATTCATACCTTTTCAAAATTAAATTTTGATTCATACATCATTCAATCATGGCTCTCTTACCTTTTGCATTCAATATAGTTTAAAATTCACTCGTCCATGATTTCAAACACTTGTTTGGTGAAATTTAAAAAAAAAAATTAACTCAGAATGGGCTATTCTAGGATACACCCTTATGATTTATATACATTTATTCAGTGATGAGAGTGGTCAGAAAGTAAAAAAGAGGAAATCCAAGAATATATATATGCACAAATTTGACAAAAAAAAGTGTAATTTTTAAACTTGTAAGTCATCCCCATGATTAATTTTAAAATTGTATGAATATGAATCACATGCATGATTTTAAATTGAGAGAATATGAATCCCAATATGAGGCTTTTAAATCACGTGAATATGAAACTCTATATCGAATTCTAAAAAATGCAAATCATGATGCACAATTTTTAGATCACGTAAATACGTATCACAATGCATAATTTTTAATTCGTGAATACAAATCACAATGTCTAATTTTTAAAGCGCGTATAAATACGAAAATCGATGTTTGATATTACAAGCGCAAAAACGACAAAGGATTTTAAGCTCACGCGAATACGAATCACTACATAGGGTTTTAAAAGCGCGTTAATACAAATCGCGATATTGGATTTTTAAATCTCGTAAATAAGCATCACAATGTACAATATTTAAGTCGCCTGAATAAGAATCACAATGTGCAACTTGGTAAATACGAAAATCGATGTTTGATAATAAAATCGCGTTAATAAGAATCAAGATATTTGCAGAGTCTGGACTATGGATTTCTAAAAGGCTTGTCTGTATTGTTTTTGTTTAAACATAATAAATAAAAATTTACAAGATTAATTGAATGAGCAAATAAATATTTTCACTGCAAATCCACCTCTATTTATTATTATTTTTTTCGTTTGCTTTCACGTCAGACAGCAGGGTCATAACGTCTGAATTGCAAAAATATGAGCCATCGGGCAGACGAATAAAAATACGGAAAATCTTATTTTTTGTGCGTAAAAGCGGAGAAAATAGCTAAAATAAGTAAAAATATGAAAGGGTTAGCAGCTAGGACGTAGTTTGAATTTTCTGCTTATCTTTGAAAATCCTAAATAAATATAATTATTTTATTTCAACAACTGAATTTTCAAAAAAAAAAAAAAAAAAACGAAACTTTTGGAGAATCGGAGTTTTTGATAAAAAGGCTGAAATTCGAGTGGCAAAAGCGAAAAATCTCATCCCTGTATAAAGGTCAACCAGTTTTATCCCAAGGAAATGATTTTTAGAGAAACTTCAGAGGGAGGAATGAGGACTTCAATACTTTCGCTCCACGGAAAATTAAATTCCTCATAAAATATTTTAACTTGTTCAAAAAAAACTTTCCGCGGAAATTAGCGGGGAAAATGGAAAAATCTGAAGAAAAAAAAAGAAAGCAGAAATCCGCGGAAGAATCACACCCCTGTATATTTAAATATTTTATAAAATTCGATTCATAGAAAATGGTGCACCATAGCTGAATCCTGTTTCTAGTCTTGTAGGAATTATTTATTTTGAATATGTTAGTAAAGATTATCCTGGTTAGGATAAGTAAAGTGCATTTATTAAAAGTAATTTTTGAATGATTATTTTATAATTAAAGGTCAATTTGCCTTAGAAAGAGAAGTGATATATCGTGTCTTTATGTTATGATATGTATATTCAGATATTCCAGAGTTTTGATGATTACACAATGAATAATGAATTCGATAAATATTTTTCTTTCTAATTAGTTGACCTTCATAATGAAACTGTTAAAAAATTTGTTTTCTCCAGAAATTACTATTTACATTTATTTTTGCTTGTATAATACATTGGGAAATAAAACAGTAACCATCTGTTTTTAGCATCTAAGTTTCACCTTCGGAGAGATATTTTTAAAAATTAATCTTCAATTTCATCATATTAGGCCTTGTTTTTTAAATATTGCAATTTTTATTCTATTCCGTTCAATTTGTATTTCTTCTTATTTATTTTTTTTATTGCACGAGTAGATATTATGTTAGTTAAGTTCCTATTAAGAATCGATTTTGGAATAATAATTTAAAACTATCTAGAAATTCATCAGAAGCAGTGTTTTCTAGACGGAAATTACATTATCAATGAAATCGGATATTGACCTTTATCCTTTCTTGATCATGCAGTTACATGTTTCTCTAGCTTTTTTTCCAAATGTTTTTTCCTCTCTAAACTACTCCGGATTTCAGCTAAATTGAAAACTGCATTTTCATCACAAAAATTTTCCAACATTTGATTTGTATTCTAACAATAGCAACTGTTGAATAAAATGTTTGATACAACTTTTTAGGGCATTAAATTTTCCTATGATTCATTGTTATTAATGCGTGCAAGAAGGGATGTTAAATAACCTAAGTGTCATCAAGTTTTTTCTGTATTTACATATGCAAGACTACCGAGGCGCATTATATTTTAATTATTTGAATGATCAAGGATGGGCATAGCACCAAATATCACCTTAATATTTTACTCACAATGGAAACATGTATATGCATACAATAACATCAAGCTGGATGATAGTTAACTCTTTATTTCATCTATATCTGAGTGGCCAGATACACGACAATGTGAACCACGGTTGAACTAGCCATCAACTACTAATGTTCAACTCCGTAGCCTTGTCATTTTGAATTCAATCCAGAAGACAAGGGAACTCCTGGGTCAAGTAGTGGATGAAATTTGCCTTCGTGGAGGATTTTTGGTGGAACTAACCCGCATTTGCGTTACATGGAGAGGAAGACAACAGGAACCTCCCACTGTTAGCTTGACGGCAAAGGGACTCCCATGATCCGCCTACCACTGAGGATATTTCAAGTCAGTGCTTTGGTCGGTGCAAGCCGGTTGCAGAATTCATATCGACTGGGATTTGAACACGGACCACCTCTTTGGAAGGCGAACGCTCAATCCCCTGAGCCAGTGCGGCTCAACTTGTAATTGCGGTCAACACCTTTGTCCAACATATTTTCAAACTTAATTCAAATTCTGGCTTATGGATGGTTGACTGTGTAAAGCGGGGCACAGATATATCGCTAGGGGTTAAAATTCATTGTAAGACTTCCGGGTTACTACACCCGATTGATTTTCTAAGCTTCGAAAAGTGTGCCTCTGGATATTATTATACTTGTAGTGTTCGCAATATTACTCGTTCTTTCAATTTAACTTTATATGAAACAAACAACAAATGAATTCAGAAGACCCCACAAGTATGCTCTAATGCTACACAAAAGACTATATTTTACACGACTATAGCCAAATAGGGATAACATTCAAAACGTAACAAACCTTACACTTTATTTATATTGCGATATTTTCTTAAATTTCTTTTAGGCTCACAACCTGTTAGAATTTATAAATTACAGAATACTGCTACAAATGGTAAAATTTTGCATAAATTTGAACGAAAATCACAATAATAAAACTTTCTAGAACATTAAGCTTTATCACACATTGCCTCGTAAGCTGCAGGATTCACCAGAAGTTTTCTAAATTTTTTCCTGTTTTAGAAAGATTGTTTACATTCAGTCAACCATCTATATTGACAATATTGAACTGTTTCATCATTAAAAGAGAAGAAACTTTCTATTGAACGTACTGTTAATAGACTCATCATAAAGAGCGATCTTAGGATAGGGCATGTTATTAGTAAACCCTGTGATGACTCATCTGAAAAGTAAATTACTGTGAAATGAAAACAAAAGCCCTAATCTGTCCATTAGATAGATTATTTTAAAACATGCAATATAATGCACTTATAAAGACTTGTATTGTTCATAAATTATATAAAATGTTGAAAAGTCAATGTGTTCAGAGTACTCAAAAATAAAAGCTTATTCTCAAGACTCAGTAAACCAGATGTGCAGAATGTTTCGAAAATGACACATTGCAATTCATATTCGCACGATCAACAAAGTTCTATCGATATTATTTTTTTGAACATTGCTAATATTTTACAGATATATGTTTCACACATAAATTTTTTTTGCTGAAATTTCAGTTATTTTTTGTATTTATAGGCAAATTTGTTTTTGGTTCATTATCAAACTTATCTTTGTGATACAACTATCCACAATTAAACAAGAACTTCGATTGATATTGAAGTGGTTAATAACACATATATTATGTATATTACTAATTTATTATACAAATTACATTACAAATATAAAATTAATTATAATAATAAAACATACTTAAAGTGGTTTAATAAAACTTCTTCAAAACTTAGTTATATCTGTTTCCCTTACTGTTTTTGTTATGATTATAACTTGTTTTCCCTCTTCCAAGTCTTTATCAGTAATATTCGATTAAATTAGGATGCATAGCTTAACAGCAATGAGTGTTGTTTCATATTCCTAAAAATTTTAGCTTATTGTTAAATTAACTCAGAATGAATTAAAAATATAACTAAACATAGTTATACTTTTAAGTAAAAATGTAACGAATATTCAGTCACTATTCGGTATTATTTGTAAGATTATTTTTCGACTAAGTTCTTATTGAAATTTCAATAGATTTAGGGAAGAATAATCAAATAATAGCGGAAAACTCAATAGATTTAGTGAAGAATAATCAAAAATTTTATTATCTTCTTTACATTATTAGAAATAGTTTTTACACATATTTGTTGAGTTCTAAAACTTGTTAATTTATGTTTTGAACACAGAAAATCGAAGAATTGAAACTAAATTACTTTATACTGAACTATGAGTTTTGTACTGCTGATTTTTTTTTCTTTTTTCAATTATATCCAGGCAAGTTTTTTCCCCACAATTGTATGTTTTAAAAATCAAGAATTTTGTGGGTTTTTTTTGTTTTAATTACAGTGAAGCATGTTAGCAGAGCGTTTTTAATAGACTTTATTATTTTATTTTCAGTTTCTTCTTGTACAGTAAAACAAATAACTAGTAATATAGTAAACTGTGATTCTCAACATTAAAGTCATATTTCAGAACTAAGAACAAATTTTTTTCTGCTTTCCTTTTGTTTTTCTTTATTAACTTTTCTTTTTACCAACATGTTCATTACGAAAGCACTTTTTTTAGAAAATTTCTAATGAATGTTATTCTTTTATGGTAATTTTGTTTTAAAATTACGGCAACGTGAAAAAGTTAAATTAAGATTTTTAGCATCCTTCATCTAAAAATTAAGAATTTCATTTTAGTTTCTAACTAAAAAAAAAACAAAACAAACTTGCTGCTTTTATTGACACTTTTAATATGGCGCTGCAATTAAAGAGGGTTTCAATTAGACTTTAATCTTTGTTTTCCTGAAAACACAGTAATTGGAAAACTGAAATGTTTAGCTTCAAAATTTTCTTTCAAAAATTAAGATCCATTTTTTCTGTTTTGCTTTTGTATATAACCTTTGTTTTTTATAGGTGTTTTTAGGATTGTGCTGCATTTTTAAAAGCATTTCTAATCGCCATTATCTCATCTCTTTCAATGTTTCAGGGATAATTGTTTTCCGTAAATATGATAATTAGTATTTAAGTTTTGCTTTTAGAAATTAAGAGGATATTTTTATCTTAATATCTATTTAACTTTATTATCTTAAACATTTTTATTTAAGTTTTTTCCTTTAACCCCATACCAATAATACAGCTAAGTTTTGAATAAAAATATTTATTAATGATTTAAAGAATAAATCAGCTATACGGCCACTGAATATTCGGTCAAATCACAATTTATTACATCGCTAATAGTAAAGAAAATGAATTAACAGGAGAATTTGCAGTACATTCAATTCTTTAAAACATATATCTTTCAAAATAATTGAATCAGTCAACAGAAATAAAAACCTGTACCATCTCAGGGGTATGAGTTTCTTTGATGTTAAGCAATTTAAGATAGTAGTAAAAAAATCCACAAACATAATAATTACAACATAAAGGAAAAATCAACTATTCTAACTTTAGTCAACAATGCTTAAAACACAAATAATATGCAATAAAAAAAACACACACATACTATATTTTATTTTCAAATATATCAGTGTAACACACAAATTCATAGAAATAGGTGCAATGTGTGCTCACATAATATAACAAGAAATGAAAAATTACTAGATAAACATAAAAGGTGTGTTAAGTATAGAAAATGAAAGTATCGGCAATATCTATTAAAAATAAATCCCATTTTCTAATGATATTTTTCTTAGTTCTAAGAATGTAGAACCAACCAAATATTTCTTTCTTATTCAGGCCTGTGATACGTTCAGGGGACTGAATTTCCATTTATACAATAATCAGGTGACTAATAAAATGTAAAATTTCAGGGACTTAGCATAAGAAAAATAAAGTACTTACTTATTTTATGTTAAGTTTTATTAAGACATTAGGTACCTGTTAAGGTGTCTTGTTAACCTGGAGTTTATAGATTATTGGAAAAACACATTTATTTAAAGAATTAAAAAATACTGATTAGAATATACCTATATTTTTATAATTCTAGGAAATAGATGCCTTTTTTTACTAATATAAAACCAGTTATTGTATTGAGTAATGATAAAATGATTTTTTAGAGATACTTATCAATTAATGATTTTCCTTTAAATAGTATAAAATTTTTTTCGTGTATGCCACATAAAACGAACTTTATTCTTGAAATTTACCAATTTTTGTTTTAATTTCAAAACTCTTACAAAAAGATATTCTCTCTTATTANAAAAAAAAAAAAAAAAAAAAAAAAAAAAAAAAAAAAAAAAAAAAAAACATCAAAAAGAGGACTAACTTGAAGGGGTATAACTCATAGACACCCTGGGCCAAACCTCTACCCTTTAATTAATTTGGTTTCTTGGTGATTGCAGTATCGGCGACAGATCATATATCTCCTGACTGGCTTTGTATCAAAAATATCCCCAGAATGGCTTTGCACTTTTTCATCACATAAAACTTCATGAAGCAATTTGTATCAAATATCATTTCATTTTCATATAATATTGAACTCAACCTTTCCAAGTGATAATCATGCTGATTTTGTAGCTTCAGGCATATAACAGAGGTACAAAGTTAATCAATGGAAAAACGAACAAATTACCAGAGTATCATTATTTATTGAAATTTTTTTTTTTTACCATCTTTGCAACCAGGAATTATAACATACAAAACTGTTCTACCACCCAGAAATAGGTTAATAATGTTGCACATGACCAAGCTTTCACATTATTAATTTAAAATTCCTATGACTGATTATCAAATTTTGCAAAACGAGCAATATTATTAAAAAATTTTAAGAAATCAACAATGTACATTGAAAACAGTCAATAGGTAATTGATTAAAGTTTGATAAATAAAATTTTCAAAACCCATTTATTACAAAGTAAACGGCTGATAATAAATAGTGGAACAAAATATACAGTTTCATTTTTAGCAGTAATTCTAATAAACGTGAACCATTCCATAAAGAAAAGTCCAGAACAATATGTAAGTGATCAGTCCACCAAAAAATCCGCTGGTTAGCAGCTGCGTACGACTTCTGAAATACTTTTCCCAGTCAATGCCAGCTTTCGCCAATAAAAATAACCAAAGCATAATAGCAGTTATGAAGTAAAATGCGAATCCAAATAAGCCCGTAAGACCTAAAATACCAGCAGTGCTTCCGGATAAAGCAGCCATAGATGTACGACAATATTCCAGAAGAACTAAATTGTGACGAACAGCTGCCTCACTATAAGCAACGATTTCGCCCTTTTCTTTCCGATATCTCATTCTATTCACTTTTCCAGACATTATTTTTGTAACAATCACAATCTAAATCCTATTTCAATGTGTACGATTTTTCCATGAAAATAAATGAGAGATAGAATCATATGTCATTAAAAATTGTTTTGCTTATAGCTCTCTTAGATACTTGCCAGTTGTGAGTGAAAGTGTTGCCAGATGTGAGATAAAAGATTTCGATTATGAACTGAAAATAACTACAACTTCTACCATATGTAAAGGTAAATAAACAAAAGTGTTTCTTCTGATAAATTGAGAAAATGATTTCTTTATTAAAATTATAAATTTATCTGGATTTAAAGGAGAAAACGAAACTATTTTCTTTAAAAAACGTCATAATATCTGCTCACTTCATTAATGGTTGTACTGATATGTAAGTTTAAATCGTTATGTAACTGAATTAAATTTATATTAAGGAAAAAATATTAATTTCAATTAGCTAACGACATATTGCTCATTTCGTCATATTGAAAGCTATTAACCTAGTATCGTCATTTATTAATCAGTGGAATAAAAATGAATGGATTTTTATAAAACGTTTCCCGCTGTGTTTTTTTTATATATACAAAACCTATTTTATACCATTTTACTCCGATATTTATTTTAAATCGAATAGTATCTTGTTAGAAGTATTTTTAATCGTGAGTAATTTTTAGTTAACTTGATAATATTTAACTCGATGATAGTCATTATAGTGAATATGTTAGAAAATTGAATATCAGAAGATATTTCATTTATTATGCATTGAACTCTCACAGAAAAAGTTCTTCGAAAAATTTATTTTTAGAAATTAAGTATCTAAAAATTTTAAAACTAAAATGATTGCTTTGATTCGTGCTTAACAAGGAAAGATTTACGGAACTTGATTTAAGGAGAAGAATAATCTCCAAGACTTCTGGATAGTGGCCAGCCAGAAAACTAAAAAAAAAAGAAGAAAAAAACATCATTGGTGGAAATTGACACGAAGAGTGTAACTAGTAGCCTCCCCTGGCCAAACCTCTACTAGTTTTTTTTCTCTCTGAAAATTGCAGGTTAAAAATCAATTTGTTGTAAAATTCTAGAATAGCCCACTCCTGGGCAGCTTTTTGAAATCTTCAGCCAAGTTGGCAATTATTACTTGGATCAAAGTTATTTTTTTATTATTAGAAAACAGTTTAAATAAAAATTAACTTACCTTTATTTTGATTTTTCTCTTACATACAGGACAAAATATATACCAATCAACCACAGTGAAACCTAGTTTGGCGAGATTTCAAAAAATCGCCACAGGATGGGCCATTCTAGGATCCACCCCAATTTGGCACCTTCATTTGTAATTCGCTAGGCATATCATGATCTGGAAATATCCTCAAGATTTCTATGAGAAACTAAAAAAAAAAAAAAAAAAAAAAAAAAAAAANAAACCTAGTTTGGCGAGATTTCAAAAAATCGCCACAGGATGGGCTATTCTAGGATCCACCCCAATTTGGCACCTTTATTTGTAATTCGCTAGGCATATCATGATCTGGAAATATCCTTAAGATTTCTATGAGAAACTAAAAAAAAAAAAAAAAAAAAAAAAAAAAAAAAATTCTAAAAGAGAGGATATTCCTTTGTCATATACAATTGTCAAGGTGCTTAATGGATTTTAAGCTTGCTATTTAAAAAAAAAAAAAATTATGTAGAGGTCTTGTCTTTCTATTGGTGGTTACCAGTTATACCCTTCTGTGATTTCAGGCTCCGAATAATGCCATTAATCATGGATTACTACACAGAAGTTGTATATGGAGGTTGAAATATGTGCATAATGCACTTTCCACATTCTGAATAGGGTGAGCTGTGTTGACCTGCAAGTTTAAAGTTATAAGACTGACAAAAAATTGCAGCAATGAAATTTGAGTTTACTATAACTGCAGTACCAATTTTTCAGCTGTTCACTATAAGCATTTAAATTAACATTATCGAAATGGTAGTTTGGATGGAACCACTAAAAAAGTTCACTACAACTGAGTGTTCACTTTATACCAAGATCTGTATTTGTATAAATCTTTTGTGAGTACAAAAACCATTTGGATGCCATTGTAGTGGGAATAAATAGGTACTAATTTGGAAATTTTAAATTCATAGAATATGTCAGTGAGTTAAATCTTAATGCCAGCCAGTTATCAGTGAAATATGCGATGACTGATTTAATAAAAAAACAGTAACACATTGCTGCAACAGCCTGTTGTAGGCCAGGCCAGAGGGTCTTTAAGGTTAGGACATGCTAGTATCCATTGATCTGATGTTAGGTGGGCTCATTGAGGATTGAACCGCAGTCTTTCACAAAACTCAGTGCCTATAACACTAAGCAATCGCTGTTCACTAACTAGCCGATATGACCCTCTGACCCACAAAAGGTTGTTGAGATTGAGGAAAAGAATAAAATTGTTTATTTATGTATTTAAATGTTAATATGTTGAGCTGTTGGTCAATTACATTGAATGGTCTTTGATACCTTTTTATGAGATGAAAAAAATTAGTTAAATTCCATTTAATAATTAATTTGCAATAGGTATCACAATACAGTCATAATCATCTGAGCAATTCCATATGATAATTAATCTTTAATAGGTATAACAATACAGAAAGAGGTTTTGAAGAAACATACTATGATTTGATAAGAATAATTAACTTTTGACTAACATCCTTGTATTTTTTTTATTATTTAAATATAAAATTCTTTTATAGGTTTTTGCTTTACCTACGCCACCAATTGAAGCATTATTATGACTTCTCTGAAAAATGGATCAACTATTTCAGCAGAAACAAATCAGCGTAAAGTTCCTTACAAAAGAATCAAGCGAGCCGTAGAGCAAATTGTTACTGTAGCTCTTCCTCTGCACTTACAGCTTCTCAGAGAAAAAAGTGAAAACATCGAACTTTTGAAAAGTAAAAAGTCTCTTTCTGGCCTCCGAGCCGAGCAAATCGAGGCAGTGAGGTCTTTGAAACTTTTGAAAGCCGATTTGTACGAATTAGAGGAACTGTATACCAAAGTCGAAGATAAAGATCAGGATTTTTTTTATGATGCCATCAAAGACTCCATAAAAGAAGCTGTTGAGGCCATTGCACAGTTCGCAGAATTGCACCCTGATGCTGATGAACCAATACCAGATATAAACACAGATAACAAACCTGAATTTCCTAAATTGGTCTGCCACCTAGACCAAGAGTGTGAAGCACCACCTGAGGATAATCAGTCACAGCCTGTAACTGCTTACCTCACTTCATCTGTAGAGGAATTTCATGCATCTAAGTCTGCGTTCCCGGATTGGTCTTTCTTGAGGAAGGAGCTTCTAGAAGTGCACTGTCTCATCACTAAATTTGCATCATTTGTATTCACCCAAAAAGAAAAAGTCAACACCATACAGAGTAACGTTGAAGAGGCTCATGAGAATGTTCAAGAAGGTGTTCATTATTTGAAGAAGGCTTCTCTTCTAAAAGCTGCCACTTTTCCATTAGTTGGAGCCATAGCGGGTGGCATATTGCTTGGCCCAGTGGGAATGGCTGTTGGTTTTAAGCTTGTTGGAACTGCGGCGTGCGTTGCCAGTGGTGGTGCCCTCGGATACAGAGCCGGTGTGACTTTAAAGAAGAAGCATGAGATTTCCTCCGATATTGAAATGAAAGCACTTACTTATCCATCCAAAGAAAAATCCTCATCTAGTCCTGAGCTTTCAACGATGAATTATGAACAATGAGTTCAAAATCGTAATATTTATTTAATTTTTTTTTATTTATTTTCGGAATGTTACTAATATGTGCCTTTTAATGTTTGTTTAGCTTCTTATCAACTATGAACTGCGAGAAAATTCAAAAACTCTGATCGTATGTTATATTTATATTAATTAACTATATTCTTGAAAATAGTACACTGATGCACAAAAACTTGCCATTATTATACAGAGTCAATGACATTTTTATCTGCCACCCCTTTTGAACCTGAATAAAAACATTTGTATTAAAAATTGTTAGTTGATCTTGATATTTGATAAACTGTTTTGAACTGTGAGTAAATATGAAACTGAACTTGGGCTGAGTATAAATTTTTTTAAACAAATGCAGTGACACAAACATGTGAGTAATGGATGAGGATTTGCCCCTATTATCTAATGTGTGTGACATTTTAATCCGTCATTATAATTTCAAATTTGAGTGTAAATTTGAGGAAAAATGTTTTAACTGCAATGCTATTTTATTTTTGGAACCTGTTCCTACTGAAAGTGAACAGACGTGTAAATGTGCCGATGGCTTCGAAGGAACATCTTCAGAACGAAATATGCTCAATTCTGGGACATCTTCATTTCTCTTCATTTTAGATTGCCATCAGGTACAGGTGAATAGTGTGGCGGAGGTCGATTTATCGGTGAGTGAAGTTGACAGTTTTAAGTTTAATAACTTGGATGCATCACTACACTCTGCAACCAGTTCATTATGCTTTCAATTGAGCGAATGGTCTCTTAAGATATGGACTGCTAAAAGATCATGCAAGTTTTGTTTTCCGAAAGTCATCAAAATTTCATACCAAACACTGCCTTCATGTCCATCCTTACTTTGGGTAAAAGATCAAGATGGAAAGTATGTTCACATTAATTTCTCAAATTTCTCACTATAGTTAACCAGATATAAAATCTCACCCAGTGGAGTGTCAAACAATTTTAAAATTGCAAATTTATCTTTGCAAAATGTGACAATTTACCAACTGTATACTTGCCAACTTCTGCGCTTTTCAAAAAAGTGTTTTCCTAGTGTTAGAGAAAGACCAATTAAATTTAGATTGCATGCTGGTGTTTCGTTAAAATTTAACCGACACTTAAGAACACTTTCAATAATAGACCAATATCATATTCTATGTAGGACCTTTATAGACTCATAATGTTGGGTAAACATTGGGTTTTTTGTAGATTTTTCAATATTGGTCCTAGAATGGCTTTCAATAATGGGTCAATATAATTTTATATGTTGGACCTTTATAGACTTATAATGTTGGGTAAAAATTGGGATGTTAAAATGTTTCAATATTGATCCTAGATAAAAATAAATCTTGCTCCAATAGTGAAAGTAATTCTAAAACCAATATTGAAAAATCTAGACATTCCAATATGGGTCCCTCGGTGCATGTTCTTATGGGACCTGTAGTAACCAATTTTGAACCCAACTGGGGCCAAAAGTAAAATTGTTGTAAGGGGAGATAACAAGCCAATTATATGCATGTATAAATTAATTAAATGTAATGGTTGTCAAAATCACTTTAAACTCTATTTATTTAAAGAAGAATAAAATGTAATTCTATAAATTTTACCCCCTCATTAAATATGAAAATAAAGTCTTCAGGAAAAACTGGAAGAGTTGGCGGGTATGCAACTAGTGTATGCAGTCGTTTTTGCTAATTTGTGATTGCTTTCAATGTAAGCACACATATTGAAAGAGTTTGCATAGTTTTTATTTTCTTTTTTATAAATTTTATTTGAAAACTTTTTAAATTTATTAAAAAATAAAATAAATGCTAATATTTTGTTTAGATGCCGAATTCCTTTTTCTTCCATTTCTGTTAGTCCTTGTTTTAAAATATTCAGGAATACCAAAAACTTCCTCATTATTCAATTTAATGTGTTAACAAGCAGAGCACTCATTTGCAATTCAGTGAAAAAATTTTAATTCTATCACATGTTAGTTGGCTAATCTATAATGCCAATTTTAAATACTTGCCATTGTTTAAAATCATTTAGGTGGTCCACTAGTCTGAGACTACTACAAGATAAATCGCTTTACAAAAACTTATACCATCAATTTATTTATATCAAATCAAAATAAATATCATAAAACACAAGAGGCAATAAAAAAGAAATAAATATGACAACTGAAGCTGACATTTTCTGGGGGTACCAGCTCCAGAAGCCATAAAAGCAAAACCTTTTCTATCGAGAGAGTACGACAAATGTCTAAATTGCTCTCTCTCTCTGTACCCCCCAAAGGTTTTGCCCAAGTCCAGGAAGAGAAATTAGGCTTCTGCGCAAATTAGGGGCACTGTTTTTTATGTTTATTTTAATTTAGTTGTGTCTGGCAGTCGGTAGTGATATTTGGTAATTGAATTTCAATTTCAAGTATGCTTTTGTGCGTATTATTCTTATGTATTTGTCTTGATTTTATACTTCTGTATTTGCTTTATGTATTTTATATTTTGTATTGTATTCTCTTCCTGGACTTTAGGCAAAACTTTTGGGAGTACAGAGAGAGCAATTTAGACATTTGTTTTGCTCTCTCGATAGAAAAGGTTTTGCTTTTATGGCTTCCGGAGCTGGTACCCCCTAAAGACGTCAGCTTCGGTTGTCATATTTATTCATTTTTTCATATTTCATTGTTTCTTTTGTTTAAATTCCTTTTGAATTCTCAGCCGCTTAAGCGCGTTTTTCCACTGGAAGTATTGTTTTCAATTGCTTGAATTATTTTGAATTCTTTTCTTAATAAATATCATAAAGAGACTTTTATGTTGAGAGAGCTATGCTTCAAGCAGATAAGCGACCTGTAAGTTAAAAACGAGACATTATCAAAAAGAAACCAGTTTTTTTTTAAAATTTCTAATACTGCCTACAATTAAATAAAAAAATTTTAAATTGGTATTAAAATTTAACTTTGAGTTTTTATTTTACTTAATTGCTAAGTAATAAGCAATAACTTTATCATACTAGTTTAAAATTTTGTTATGATTTTTTTTTCAAAATAAATGTTTTTCTTCTTTTTTCTAAAGGCCTTCCGTTTTTACCTATGGAGCTGCTGTTAACAACCGATCTCTGTTTCCTTGTCAAGAGCCTCCTGTTGCCATGGCAACGTGGGAAGCAATAGTGAATGTCATTGATTCTGCGACTGTTCTGATGAGTGGAGATAATGAACCTCTGATATCTTCTGATAAGGGTATATATTTCTTTTAACTTAATCCTTTATTATTATTATGTGCTGTGAAATTGGGCCATTAACTTATATTAAAAATATTACCTGATATAATGAAATCTTTCATGTTGATCTTAAGAGCAAAATTTATGCAGGTTAACTTTACGATTATAAGACAGTTGTGGAGGGGTGGTTGAGCATACTAAAACATGTATTTTTTGTGTAAGGATGTAGAATTTAAAGCATGGGCATGTCAAGGGTCTAATTTTTGAGGGGGATTTTAAAATACATGATCACAATAGCTCTCTCAATGTCACACATATGGAAAAAAAATTCTTATTGTTTGCTAAATATTTGCTAAAATATAGAATTTTTTTTAAATTTCTTTCTCGTTTTCGACTTTAATAATTGCATATTTTATTTAACTTTTTTAAAAATTTTGATAAATAAAATCTGCAAAAGTATCATTTTTGCTATTAATATTATTCTAGTACTCTTTAATGTAACAAATAAACAACTTGTCGCACTTTTAAATTTGAAATTAGTTTTCAAGTAATTAAATAGTTCATATAGTTATAGTAGTTGTTCTTTAAAAAAATATTAATCTTTATTTGTTAATATTAACCTTTTAAAAAAAAACTATAATTATAGTAAAATTATAATTTTTTTTTTTCAGTTTTTGTTTTCTTATGACGTCAGATAAAATAAAATTTAAAACAATGTTGACTTTTATTAAAAGTTCAAACTTGTATCAAAAGAATTAAATTGTAAATTTTTTTTATGCAATTCTGAAAATTAACAAGAGATGCATATTTCTTGCACGGTTTTTTGGGCACAATGATATCAAGTATAGTCTTTTCATTAAGGAAAAAAAATGTAATAAAGAGGCTCAATTCCCAGAATATTCAATTTTTATTTGGTATTCTATGAAATTTGCTGATCTAAATAATTAGTTATACGATTCCCGGTAAAATTATGTCTTCATCTTAGCTGCAAATTAATTTACTTCTTTTTTTGTATTTATCTATCAAATGGCTTATTAATTATTTTACCGTTTGATTAGAATAATTAAGTATAAAATCAGTAATATATTTTACTGAAATTCAAATACTTTATTCTACAAGAATTAAATTTTATTACTTTATTTTTTTGAATTTGTATGTATTTGCAATGTATTTTAGAGAATTCAACATATTTATATTCGATATTCAGTCATGTTTTTTGAATAAAATATCACATTGTTCACTTTTCGAATAATAAATAAATGAAATTGTTGAATGTTTAATTGATTTTCATACTAAAAAATTATATTCACTTTGGTTGTAGCAAATCTATTTCTTTTAGACTTGGTTTTATTATAGATAAGACTTTAAATATGTGTTTGTTGGCATTATATTAGAAAAATCATACTTATTTCTTAGCTGTCTACTTTTGCACATCAAGAATGTTTTTCTTGTATTAGTGAACTGAAAATGGTAAAAATAACTGTTTGCAGAAGTTTCTTAAATTTCATCAAGAACTTAAAGCAGATGATTCAATAGTTGGAAAATACTACCAGTATAAGTGTCACTAACTTTCGCATTGCTTTATACTTACCACTTTCTTTTATATGAATTTTTTTTAAAATTCACTTTAAAGTATGAGCTTTTTTATAACTTTACATGGAGTCCAAATTAATACAGTCAAAAATGGATGCCCTTCAAAAAAGCTATTACAAAAAATTGTGACCTTGTGAAAGTAATAGTTTGGCGTGGGGCAAAAATGAGTATTTTTTGCTCTAAAAAAATAAAAAGCACTGTTTATCTTTCAAATTACCTTAAATGTTGACCCAAAAGGACGGAAAAGTGATCAAAGTAGTCAGAGAATGAAATCTCAGGCATGTTTAAAAATCTCATGAAAATATCCCAGACGTGTTTAATGTAAAAGATTAAATAAATGCTCTTTATAATCTTTTATTTCATCCTTAAAAGTTTCTTTTTATATGAAATTGGGATTATTTGAACTATATATACAATGTAAAAATATATCTATAACAAATCTTTGATCTATAATGTTATACATATCTGTATGCTTCCACCATTCTCATATTTCACTTTTTCCGAATGAATTTTTTTCCACACTAAGAAGTCAAAGAGTAAATTATATCTGAATCTATAGCGATATTTTTATCTGAAAGGCCAAAATAAATCTACAACACTCACAGGTGTGCTGTCTGAGTTCTACTGCATGCTGGATCTATAAATATACTTCATTTCCTTTTTCAGAAGTAATTTTAATTTTATGGATAATTCTAAAATTTGTCATTTGTCCTTTTTAGGTCTCACACAATTCTATTTCTACACCAAGAAAATTTTGCCACTTTCTACTCTTTGCTTAGCTATAGGATTTTGGCAAGAACACTTGGTCACTCAAAAATATATGTAAGTATCTTAAACTATTTAGTTGAAAATCTAAATTGTGTGTTTTGATAACTTCCACCATTATTATAATCTTAGCAACAATATGATGGATTTAGTTCTTGATTATTTCAAGATTTTTGCTAGTTCAAAATTTTAAAATATCAATTTAATTCTAATATTCTTCAAACATCAAATATTTGCAATTTTATTGACTTGAATGCAAATGTTAGCACATCCTTAATAAACTCTCCTGCATAAAAAAATAAAAAATTGAAAAAATCTTTGATAGGATAGTAGAGTGACTAACAATGACTTAAATTTGTGATCTGGATGGACTAGCATGTCGATTTTATACAGAGAAACTCCAATTTTCGGTTTTCTGTCGGACTAGCGTTTAAAAATGCAAGAAGCAGAATAACTTAAAATTGGGGTAAAAATAATCGAAGTATATTTTTCAAAAATTGACTCTTAAAAAATGAACTACTTTAAAAAATGTATAATCTTTGACTGTTCTTTTTTTAGATACCATTTCAACAATATTCCTCTCAATACTTACTAGTGTTTGCAAATTTTCTTTAAGTTTTACTTTTGCAAATGTTTCATAGTTTTTATACTTATAAACTCTTGTTGTCTCTGATATTTTGCATTCCTTTTCATCTCTATCATCAGGAGTAGGCATTTGATCAGATGTTGAAGGAATTGAAAAATATGTGTTGCAGTCGACATATGCATTATCAATTTTGGAAGATCTTCAGACAGGCAATTTTATTCTAAAGAGTCAAAAAATATTTTTTTGATAATGAGATGCAATTAATCGCAACAAGCTGTACTAAACCCATTTAGAATGCATTTTAGTGGACACTGTTCAATGCTGTGAAAATAAAATTCAGTGCTTCTAGAACATTTATTTGTGATTTAGAAGCATTTTGCTGGTCACTGAAATCATGAAAAAGAAATGATTTTCTGTTGTTTAGTGTAATGTTTTTTAAATGATTGGATAATATCAAGATTTAAGGATTGACGCTTGCTTAAAAAAATTCCAACTGCAAATTTCACAATTCAAGCTCCCATGTTTCCCATAACCATCCTTCTGATTTTGACTCAAAGAGGAGGTCTTCTCTCACAATTAGATAGAGTGTCAGAAAGGCCACAATCAGCCAATAAACAAGTATCCTTTTTCAAAGAAAAAAAAGAAAGTTCAGAAAAAGTTTGTGCAAGCTTTTTAGTGAAAAAAGGATTTGATCTGTTAGGAAAAAGTATAAAGTGAGATTATTTCGGAATTATGTTACCCTTTTTAAGATAATTTAAAACTATTGGTATTGGCAATTTCCCGAATCAGCAAAAAATGATGTAGAAAGTGTGATAGCGTAGGGTACACGAATACGAGTTAACAGACAACATAAAACCGAGGCACATGTAGTTTGATGTATTTTGTTACCTTTTTCCAAAAATGACAAAAATATTTTTTTTGTTACACTGTTCTATAAAATTCATGATAGTATTACTGAATTAATGAGAGCTTCGTTGGACATAAACTTTCATGGTTTTTAAGATCATCACATGCCTTCATTTGATTAGTTTTTCTTTTATATTATTATCTGAGCAAGGAGGAAAATCTATTTATTTTTTTAAATTAAATTTGTGTGCATTGCCTGATTATATTTGACTTCTATTATTGTTTTCCGTTATTATATTACTGATTATTTCTTTTTCAGATCTTCTCCCAAATGTAGAATATTTTCTCCACCATCCTTAATTAATTTAGCAATTCTAGTAAGTTATTTTATTACTTTATTCACATTATTTATATAAAAAAATAAATATAATTAAATAGAAAAGTAAATGGCAAAACAACAAAAGGAATCATAAATGCAATACAAAACTTCTTCAGGGGACACTCTGCATGCATTCATGTAGGCCAGTGGTCGGCAACCTGTGGCTCGCGAGCCACAGGTGGCTCTTTTGATGTAAAGTTGCGGCTCTCCAGTTCCATACGAAAAAATTAATAAATTGTTACCAAAGCCCTTAAAAATAAGAAAAAATATTTTTAAGTACCTAATTTCTCAAGAGCTTTCTATTCTTATAATCGTTAATTACAAACCGCTACCCTCAGGCCTGTCGTTAAGCCCGGTTAGAGGGGTGTCTCATTCCGACTCGATTCCGAGTATTCACCCGGAAAAGTGGCAAGTCTGTTGTCTGTTTGAGCATGCCGTTACCGACACCATGAAAAGGCACAAAAAAAGGATGATGCCTGCGACTCTGATCTTGTGAAACAGCAGACAAAACCCCGGAAATTTCTGTCAACTTGAAAANTATGTCAATACATTTCTTATTGTTGTAACTAGACAAACTCTTTTAAACTAATCAAATTTCATTTATTGGCCACTTAAGGTTACAGAGCTACATTAAAATTATTATTTTAAAGAACAAACAATGATCCATATAATCATTAAAAATATTTTGGTTGAATCCTTCTCAAAATTACAAACGATTAACCAAGATATCTAAGGGAAAGAAATATCCATATTTCTAGTACTGTTTTCATCAACCAGAATCCTGGCAAAAAAAAAAAAAAAAGAAAGAAANGAAACCTGGAAAAAAAAAAAAAAAAGAAAGTAAAATCAGATAAGGTTGTATCAGGGTTGGATTTTTGACATGACAGTGGTAAAAACCGTGTTTTTACCGGTAAAAACAGTCAAAACCTACTGTTTTCTTTAATTTATGGCAAATAGCGGATAATATATTATTTTTACATAATTGTTTTTGTAAATGAATGTTGTAAATGATTGCTATTGATTTTGCAACTATACACATGTATTCTTATAGAAGGATGTACATTTATACAGAAATATTGTAATATACGTATTGAAGATAGTGATACTTACTTTTATCATAATAGCTTGATTTGCAAAGGATTCAAAATTTTGCACTTCTTAATTGTTAGAAATAAACAAACAAAAAAGCTTGGAGCTATTAATAAATTCAAGAACTAAAAAGAATTTAAAATTTGGCATTTCTTAAATATAGAAATAAGCTAAACAGAACTTTCAAAACTTGTAACTACTAACAAACTCTAAGTCAAGAATTACTGCTATTTTGTCAAGTTAAAAGCTTTTATTCAGTTGAAAAAGCACATTAAACAAAACTTAATTACAAACAAAATTACATGTTCAGTAGTCGGGATCACTGTGCCGAAACATATGATAACAAGTTACTAATTTTGCGCATTTTTCATTGCCCAGTCGATTTCTAAGTTTAGTATGAATGAGTCCAAAATTTGAGAAGATTCAAAATTATTTTACCAAATACTTATAAATTATTTTACTAAATACTTAAAATTATTTTACCTAAACTATGGGTTTTTGACAGTTTTTGACGGTTTTGATAGAGGGTTTTTTGACATGACGGTAAAAACCATGGTAAAAACCGTCATGCGTCAAAAACTTGCCAACGCTGGGTTGTATACTGAATGTCTATGTTCTACCTTTCTTTATGCTTATCAACAAGCTTTCACCCTGGACTCATAAAAAAAAATCATGAAAAATATGTACCACCCAACAGAACAAAATCCCAAACTAAATAGTCAGCAAAGTTCTCTGGTGAGCAACAAGAATCAACAAGTTCACAGATTGAAGATTGGTCAAAGCATTCAGTCAATAAACAACTGAGCTCAAAATATAGCTATTCACAAGTATTTTAGCTCATCATCTTTTGATCTGTATTCAAATCCACTCACATAAATTGTTATGTGCTGCATCAAAAAAAAGAACAATTCAATGTTGTTTTCTAAAAATAAATTTAAAAAAAGAAAGGTGTTATACAATTATCTGTCTATGTGCCATTAAAATCACTAAGAACTGGGATAGCCTGGTTGGCAGGGCACTAGACACGATGACCGAAGAAGTATGGTGACTGGTGCACGTTAAATCTGGCTGGTCACAAAGTCCACTATGTTCCCATAACAAGTTATACCTCTGGGGGTACTGAATTGGATATTGACCGTTCTCTGGTTCTGGTCAAACTTATGATCTGTGGATGAATGAATGGATGTGTAAATGGGTCCGCCCTATAAACGGGCGTGGCGTATGGGTGTGGCAGAAGTCGAATTCTCGGTTGTAGATGGCACCACTGAAAAACAAGAATAATTGTACCCCCTGTGCTTTAATGGCTGACGTCAAGAACATTAAATTCACTAGAGATGCTTTTTACTACCTCGGGTAATATCTCATGGGGCAGCAATAATGACCTGTAAAAAATTAAACATATATGCATTTATGATCAATTTTTTTTTAAAAAATAGTATTTGCTAATGTAAATCAAAAGGTATTATTAATTGAAATATTTTTTTTAATTTTTTTTTTCATAAATTAATTTTGATAATCTCATATTTTTTATTCTACACCAAAAAAAATTCTGTAGTTTTGCAAATAAAAAAAAAATATTTGTTTGGAAGTTTAAAAAATTTTCCAAATAAAATATGTTGTTAATTATGCTAAGAAAGTTTAAATTTATTTAATTTAAATTGTAATAATTTTTATTATTAGTAGTAATACTGAAATTATCTAATACTATTTGTTACTATTAATGCTATTTATTTTGAATATGCTAATAAATTCCAAGAAATATTTTAGTAAATCATTTCTTTTAAGGATAATATTTTTTTCTGATTTGTTTTAAAAATTATTTTTTGAAAATTCTCGCACTTCCTCTAACTATGGCCATGCACTTAGGGCTTTATTTTTTAATGGCAATTGTACAAATGTCATGTAATTTTGACCCCCGATTACACCTGACTTGACAATGGACCGCATCTGAGCTAGTTTACAACTGAACTTCCACACCATTACCAAGGAAAGGGCTTTCAGTCATGCTGTGTATTATATGATTCCATTGTTTTGTCGACTGCCAGGAATGAACTCACCATCCCCACCCCTCTCCACTAGTGGCGCAGCTTAACCAACTGCGCCACCAGAGTACTTTGCAAATTCTCACTCAAATTAAAATAAATTATTCAATTTTCTTTCTACTCAATCTATTTTTTTGCCTTTAACAGTAATGCTAGCTCTCAAATTGCCACTTTATTATATTAAATCTATTTTTTGCTTTTAATAGCAATTCCAGCCCTCAAAGTGCCACTGTATTATATTAAATCTATTTTTTGCTTTTAATAGCAATTCCAGCTCTCAAAGTGCCACTGTATTATATTAAATCTATTTTTTGCTTTTAATATCAATTCCAGCTCTCAAAGTGCCACTATATTATATTACACTCCTTCCAAAAAAATAGAAATATGTAAGAATGAAATTTTCTTTCTTTAGAATGTTAGACCAAATTTATTATTTTCAATATTGAATCTGAACATTTATTTTTTTGCATGTCTATGTTCTTAAAATTTATGTAATAAAACCTTTTTCATAATTATCTAGGAGCTTTTTGAATATGTTCCATATTGTTTGAAAATCATTGAAGATATGCTGGGATCTTATCCTTTCTCCAGAATTGATTTTTTGGTAGTCCCACCTACATTCGGGAGCTTAGGAATGGCTAGGTAATTTATTCAGTAATAAACGAGGTGTGATTATTAATTTTCAATACTGATTTCATTACACCTGAGTATAATATGTCAATACATTTCTTATGCTTTGAAATAAAATCTCACAAATAACCATTGAAGGATTAATATTAGACTGGAATTCATAGACAGTCGTCCCCCCTCCCTTGACTCACTCAAAAAGCACCTAAGTGCACCAAGAGTGCCTAATTTATTCACAACTAAATTCTGAAAAAAGGGTCAGGTACATTAGACAACACTAGAAAAACTACAGAAGCCGAGAGAGAAAAAAAAAGATTAAAAACAGAACCAGAAAAACCACTGAAGACAAAGGGTTTAAATTGTCCAAATTCTGATGGTGAAAAAGATATGTTGATGATATGTTTGCCTTAGTATACGATGATACTGATTTTCAAGAGTTACTTTCTTTTGACCCTAACATTCAATTTAATTAGACACAGAAATTAATTCTACTTTACCTTTTTTAGATGTTCTTGTAATGTAATACTCTGATAATTTTTTCACCTCTGTTTATCGTAAACATTTTGACGTCTCTTTGCATCCTCGTGTTTACTATTAGGTAATTCCTTGCATTAACACCCCAAAAAAAGGATAAAAATACACATACAGATTTGCGATGGAATCTGCGCAATTTGAGCATGTTAAAAAGTGATGATTCAACTTCAAAATTTCTGACTTATTTCTTTAAAAGAAAAAAACCTTTATTTATCTGCTGCAGTCACTCTTTGACAGCAGGGTGGGTCACAGGTTGTGCACCTCTATACTAGTTTATTCGAGAATTGCGTAAATTGTAATGAACTTTTTTCTTTGTTTAAGTAAAAATTATTAACCAAAACGTTTAGGTCCAACTTTACTTTTGAAAGAGATTCTGAAAAATTGTTTGAAACTAAAAAAGTGCTTTAATTTGGGAGGAAATTTCAAACCCCAAAAAAAAGTGTTCTGGAGAAATATTATAGTCTAAGATTTTTCTGCCCCCCTCTCCATTTCTTTATTTTTCACTTTAACTATCTAACAATTATTTGCATTTCATCAACAAAGTCATCATCACTACCATAGTTTGTTTTTTCAAAAAAAAAAAAAAAAAAAAAAAAAAAAAAAAANAAAAAAAAAAAAAAAAAAAAAAAATCAGGCAGATTAAATTGTTTTTTTTTTTTAAAAATCATTGAAAAATCATTTTTAATTTATTTATATGAGGTTTTAATATTGATTCTGTTTCATAATTCACTCATAATTCACTATGGCCAGCAACAATTTTGTTTTTTTCTGACTCAAGCATATTAGAGAAATATTAGAGCATCTGAACCACCTTCTGACCAAGTTGTAATTGTTCTGTCATGTCGTTATCTGTTTCAATCGTTGCCATGTCGTTTAATAAAAAAGGGCTCTAATAATGTTCTCATATTCATGAGACCAATGTAGTACAGAAGTACAAACTTCTCTTCTTATCAAAAAGTTTCGTCAGTGTTCTCCCCTAAGCATTTTCAGAAGGGCAGTCCTTCCTATCTGCTCTTGGATTCCTTGCACTCTCTTTGTCCTTCTTGTAAAAATAAGCTGCCATCCTTTAAAAACACTACTTTCTGAAGGGATATTCCATCGAAAAAAAATAAATAAGGCACTGTTTAACTAATAACTACACCGAGGTAAAATTATCTTTGTTCATGGGTTTAATTCTGATTACTATTATAAATATTTACTTTGTTAGGATTATTCTCAAATGGTTTGATTTTTATGAGTTTCTCTTCTTTTCATGGTTCTATTAATGAATTTTTTAAGTGATTTTAAATTCTTAAATTATTTTTTAAATAAATACCTTTTTTTTTTAAAAAAAAATTCGCCTTTAAATGTTTAATTTTTAAAGTAATTTTCAGTTTAAACTATCAAGAAAAAAAACTTTTAAATGATTAGGTTTGAGAAAAAAAAATAATTCGGTTTATCAATCAAAATTTTTTATCCTTTTCGTTATTTTTTCTAAACTATGAGTTTTTCTCTTGTTTTGATAATGTGTTGAGAGCTACTTTTTGAAACAAATACTTAAAATAAAATAAGAGGGTAATTTAAAAATTGTTGAGGATAAAATTCAATTATTACATAATATTTCGCAGTTTGTTAAATTTTTACAGTATTAAATGAGTGCCCTTTCAAAACTCAAAGTGCCATTTTCTGCGAGGAAGCATCCTCCCCTTCTTTTGTTCCTAGGATGAACTCTGGTTTTTGTAGCATTAAGCCTTTTTTTTAAATACAAAAATCTTTATTATTGTTTGATAGGCTATTTTCTTTCGCAAACACAATGATTATAAATATTTGAATGTCAAAACATGTTTTAATTCTTTGTAGTCCCAATATGATATTCCTTTCTCAATCTCTGCTTGTTGGAGACGGAAGTATGTGTTCAAGAGTTGCCCATGAGATCTCCCATGGGTGGTTTGGATTACTGATTGGTGCGTTGGATTGGACGGAGGAGTGGCTGAGTGAAGGTTTTGCAACATTCATAGAGGATTGTGTTCATATTTGGGTGATAAACGTTAGTTACTTTTACTGATATTTTGATTCTTAGTTTTTAATATTTATTTTCGAGTTTTATCATTCATTTAGCAGTTTATTTTCAAGTCCATTTTATACATTGGCATCTTGTTATTAGAAATATTCAAGAAAAATGTTTCTTTAAACTGCACTAATCAAAGTTCACAAGAAATGATGTTCATTTCATTCGAGTAAAAAATCATGAATTTCTAGCAAAGAAAAGCAAAATCTTAATTTTCGAAAGAAAGTAATAAATATATCATTTGTACACACATTTGAGTGAATTATGAGGCAAAATAAATATGAATAATTACGCTTAGGCAGTACAATGCATCAAATAAGCCAAAAGTCATAGAGAGGATGAAAAAAATAAGTTGTGAAACGTCCCCTGGAATGTATAATTCTCCATCATGTAAAAACAGAAACTGATTGCCAAACTGTAAACTTAAACAGAAAAAAATTTCCTTTGTTTTAAATAGCTTAGGGAGAAAAGTTGAATAATATCGAGCATCAAATAACATTGTTGCTTTTTCTTGATGCAGGTGTTTGATCAGACCTGATTAAAAGCCCTGACATAACTCATCTTGATTTGAATTTATTTTTCCTTACATTAGATAAAATAATATTATAAATTTGATTATAAGAGATGGATAAATAGGTTGAGAATAAATATTTTAAATAAAGACCCACTTATAGTAAAAAGTGACCCAGAAGTAAATATAATGCTCCAGTAATTTTTTACTTGTTTTGAATGTTCCATAAATATTTTTTTAGATGAATGAATCAGAGGGAAATGACTACAGAGAATTAAAATCGCACATCAGAAAAAAGATTCTTTTGTCTGAGGTGGAAAATACAGAAAATGTACTTCAAGTTATGAGGTAATCTTTAACCTGCCGACTGTTCTCCACGTAATTTATTTCATTTATTTTTTATATTAATTTATTCCATATTATTATGTATTATTTACTCTATATTCTATTCCACTATTCTATTCTACTCTATATTCTATTCCACTATTCTATTCTACTCTATATTCTATTCTACTTTATATTCTATTCTATATTATGTACTTTACTTCTATATTATTTACCAGTGTTTTCACTACAGCGCGAGAACGCGAGAATCTCGCATATTTTTTTCTTTTCTCGCATTAAAAAATGATTACCGCGAGAAATTCGCGCATTCTATAAATCAATTTCAAAATTCGCGAATTTCTCGCATTTTGGAAAAAGCTTCGAATTACGTCATTTAGAATAAAATCCGTTTCACTTTTCTTCCTGGATCTTCATTATTTTCAACACTTGCCCCGTTATCTAGCTTCCCTATTTACCAGTAGGTATTGTTCAGAACCTTTTCGAACAACAGAACACAACCCCTCCGAACCACGGAACCCCTTTCAGAACACATTTCTCTGCAACCACGTGTTTACTGTAGGTATGGTTTTTCATGTAAGACGTTCAAATTTTTTTATGCACTAATGTAAGATGGACAAATACCTAGTAAAGGCAAAATCTTCTATGATGATGCAGCAAAAATATTCAATGCTTTAAAAAATAGAAGACGTTAAAAATGTATTATAACAAAAAAAATTTTTTTTTTCCAAGTCTATTTGTATTTTTTCAGTTTTTAGAAATCTCACTTAACTTTCTGAAATCTCACCCTGTTTTTGAGAAAGGGTGAGAAATTCTCACCCATTTTTTTTCTATGATGAAAACACTGATTTACTCTATATTATTCTATATTAGTTTTTGATATTAATTTTCTATATTGATTAATTACTATTCTAATTTATTATTCTATAATTTATTTTTATCCTTCAAATGGTTAAGTAGGTGCAAACCCTTACTTGATTTTCTATATTTCAAAGTCCTGTTCTTACAAACAGCCTCAGATTTTTTGTGCTCTGAAACATAGCTGCCAACTCTATTGGATTTTGCCAGTTTCTCCTGGTCTACGGGTCTAATAAAAATTCTCCTAGTTTTTGTACATTTTAGAAAATTCTCTAAAATTAAGTAAGTTTCCTTAAAAAATCCCTATTGAAATAGAATTTTTGCGCAGATTATTGCTGGCTCGAATATTCAAAACATGTGTTTCTAATACATAAAGAAGCGAGCCTCATTTATAGATATCAGTTATCTACCTTTAATGAATTAAGTACATATTACTATTCAAAATTAAGAGTAAGCATTTCAAGTTCATTTAATGTTAGTAATAATATCTTGATGACTAATGATCCCTGAAATTCCATATGTGTAAAATGTTTAGTACATTTTGTAACAAGTATCAAGACATTTATATTATTTCATAAAATCTACTGGATTTTTTGGCTATCCATGTTGGCAGCTCTGTATCTATCTAGATTAGTTAGAATTAGATATGAGAATAATGACTTTTTTCATTCCACAATTTCTTAATATAGTGTGAGAAGCATGAACTAAAGTTGTATAAAATGTGTGGACATTTCAATGCTATAAAAAAAATCTCAAAAACAGCAGTAGATTAAATATTGTAGAGTTTTAGTAACAGGATTATGCATTATGTTTGGCAATTATTTGGAAAAATCAGGGCAGAGACTGGTCTGGTTCTCCGAAAATCTTAATAATTTAATCTTGACAATTTAAAAAAGGAAAGATTTCTTTATGTAGCTTTCCTTCGAAGCTTTTCCAAAGCTTAGGACTGAAGATTGTAGTATTCTTTTAACATTCTTAATTTTTTAATGTAAAAATAGCATGACTCTTTTATACCTTCCACACATCTTTGCATACACAATTTAATAAAAAAACAGTGTTTATATTCCTGCATATGTTTCAAAGGTAAATGAAAGTTCCAACACCCCTTGCTGGTTCTTTTCCTCACAGAAACTGGACAGAACTGGATATGGAAATTCCTGTTTCCAAAAAAAAAAAAAATTAAAAAAAATATTTTTCCTCCCTCTTCTGACAATTTGAAAATAAAAATTATAACTGAAATATTTTTAGAAGGCAAGGGGAAAAAGCACATGGTTCTTGAACAATTTGGTTTGGTTAATTGATTAATATATATATATATATATATAAAACAATTCTGCATTTTTTTGTTTCTTTGCTATATAAATTGACCACCTGTTTAAGTTAACAGCTAAAGCATTGCCCTGTAAGTGGTCAAGTTGCACAGGCCTTATTGTTCCATTAAAATTCCAACTTATGCATTATGATAAGGAAATTTAATGTCGCGACCTAGTCCCATAGGGCCCATACGCCAAATATGTGATGTCCCGCGGTTGAGCAGCAACCCCGCCCAGCACGGGCGACCAAGCAATTTGCTGACACAAGGGAAGCCCCGAGTCATGCACAATGAAATGCAGCGTAGTTTTGCCGATGAGCAGAGGAGGCCAAGAAGCCTCAGTCAAAACCCGGAGTCGGAAGCGCCAAACCGGCTGCGGACTCCAGGACCAGGTGGGCCGACAACAGTGCCGCAGCCACCCTGCCAAAATCGCCCTCTGACAGGAAGGCAAGCAAGCCTCTTGCCAAAACCAGAACACTTTAATGAAAACTATTACAAAATTTGAACACAACACAATAAAGCAGTAATACAGGGCGAAGGTCAAATGCTGACCTGCTTAGCAGCTACAGAAAGGAGTGGAGGTCTCTTAATTTCTTTACAGACACTTTGGTTCAAAGTCTCTCTTGATCTCTTTGCTAGGCTCAGTCCCAGTAATTGGTCTTATGCTGGATACTTCTTACGACTCTCTTATGAGACACACAGGATTTGCTTGTGGCACTATGGTTACTTTTTAGGTTTGAGCCAAACCGCTGGTTGGCTTCGTAGCAATTAATGCATTTACTTTTCCCCTGACAGGAGTCCGCTCGGTGTCCTGTGCCGTCGCAGTTTGAGCAGGTCTCAGGATTGTCGCAATCTCTGGCCATATGGCCAAGACGATTGCACTTATAGCACCTGAGCGGGCGTAGGTACTCGCTGTATTTATAGCTCTTCCAACCAATTGATACGACGTCACACCTCATGATGCCTTTGAAGCTCTTCGGCTCAATTGTTACGACCCAGTGCTGTCCTCCTTTGGTTTTAATTGGAAATGAGACCTCAAATTCTCCCCCTTTAAAGAGGTCGTTGCACTCCCTGAATTGTTTGGTGAGTCTTTCCTTGGTTAAGGACTCAGGTAAACCAAGAATAATGATTATGGGTTTCTTTCTAGGAGGCACTTCGACTTTTAGTTTCTTACTCAGGCCTTTTTCTTTAATCTGCTCTCTTAGCAGTGCTAAGTCTTGCTTGCTGTCGAGCTCAACAAGCACTTTTCCCGCTTGGGTAGCTCTTAGCTCTTTCACTCTGAGTTCAGTCTCAGCCAAATCGATATTCTCTTTAATGGCTCGCTCAATCTCCTCAGAAGGCGCCTTCTCCCTTGAGTCAATCTTTTGGACATGTTTTTTAGACTTTTTGGATCGCTAAGCCTCGCGGCCGACTCTAAGTGCTTCTGTATAGGGTTTTGGGCCCTTGTTTTCTTTCTTTTTAATCATAAGGTTCAAAGCTCTTTCGACCTCATCTTGCTGACCTCTGGTGAAGGACAAAAGCACGTTCTGCTTCGATATGATGCGTGAGAAATCGGATGCCACCTGTGCGAACTCTGCAACCGCTAAAGCATTTAGCGTCTGTACCTGGTGCTTTTTCAACAATCTATTCATTCTCTCAAGCGAGATCTGTGATTCAGCCGCCCATTCTTGTTGACTAACCTCAAAAGAGTCATCAAAACACATGGGCTCCCAGTCCTCCTCTTCACTCTCTGACATGCTTGTCTTTGCTTTTTCCCTTTAATGCTTTATGCGTCTTCGCCAGTCGATCCCTCTGCCTACGTTTGCCTTCAATAGGCGTTCCTCCCCCGAACCACGAAGAGGTGTAGGACAAGTGTTATAGCTTTAAAGATGTTACTTGACCGACTTTTAAGAGTTCGCTCGAGGAATAGCTTCTAGGACTTGTTTCTGCGTGAGTATTCAATTTTGAAATACTTTTTAAGCTGCTTCGAACTCTAAGGGCCTCGGGGGTCCTGCCTTATGCATTATGATAAAAGAGATTGAAATTTTTTATGCATCTTTTTATTTTAATTATTTATTTATTTTTGTGAGTCATTCCAAATTGGTTCGCAAATGAAAGTAATCTTTTTTTAAATATTTTTTTGCTTTACATATTGTTTTGTATTAATAATTATTTCAAATTTGTTTCATTTTTTCAGGTCATCTAAAGGAAAAATAGATAAAAATCTAGTGGATGGTGTGGAAGCAACTGTTCTCAAAAATGGACAAAATCCCTTGAAAGGATTCATGCAAGTCCACTATATTAAGGTGAGACCATCCTATTGTAATTAAAATTATTTCTATGTAATAAGGAGTAACTTGGATAAAACTAAATACCAAACATTTTTAAGGCAGATCATATTGCTAATTCATTTGGAAAAATCTATGTTTTCTTGTTTAAAATCGCTAAATTTTCAATAAATTCTGATTCATCACATAGAACTAAATACTCTCAATGTTTCAAGGCACATTTTCTCAACTCTCTTACAGCGCAAGAACAGCCACCATGTTCACTAGGTTTAATTTCAATTTGATTTTTCTGTTTAGTTTATCTTGGAATCAAGGATTTATGCTGAACTTTATGAGAATTTGCAAGGTGATCTCTGAACAAGGGAATCATAGGAAACTGGGTAAAGTTAGGAAATTTTATCAATCTGGAAAAATCGATTAAATGTCAGTGAATTTATTTAAAAATTAATTTCTGTTATGGTTAAATATCTTACAGCAACTATTTTTCTGATAAGTTGTTCCTACTCTAATAAAAAATCATTATGTAAAGGAAAATGCTAGCTAAACTGTTGGAATTGCAATGGAACCCTGTTTATGAGACTCACCCTCAGATGTGAGTATCATTATTGCATGCGATTTTACTGTTATAGATCTGAAACTTGGTTTCTAGAAAAGGACAATGTAATACTCTGATTGTACAGTTGGTTAAGGTTTGGAGTGAGGGATACCAGCGCAGGTTCTGTGCACGATGTGTTACAAGGGTCAAAATTGCGTTAATTCCTATCATGGCCCTTAAAATGAGGCTAGATGCTTGACCACGGCTGAGTGATGTGCGTGTTGTTTTTGCTTAAAATTGTATTGTTATTTATATAAAAATAAAATACAAGTAAGTGTTTTTTTTAAGCTTTATTGTTCATTTTAAAGGAAGAAAATAACAGATGTATAATTTGTGGTGTTATATATGATTTATGTAAATTTAAAATTTCTTTAAATGAAATTTATTACCATACCATCAGATAAATAAAACAGCCAGAAGAATGTACATTATTTAAGTGTCTTTTTTTTCAGTATCAAGTTAAATTAAAAAAAACAAACTATTTCTTATTCATTTTTTTCTAAAATTTGAAGTCTGAGAATGAAATTGAGGTGAAAATTACGCTGCAATGCCCTCTGCTAATTTTTGCTTCTGTGTATTTTGTGTTGCAACATAAGCATATCATAGAAAAGCAAAAAAGAGGAAAATGTTTCAGTTTTTTTTTGTTTGGGTGTGATAGTTTAGTCACGATAGGTTGAATAGTTTCTGATTTTTTGTTGTGTATCTTCAATTACATTCTAATTGTATAATATTTATTATATGTTTTAGGGTTATTTTTTATTGAAACATTTGTCTGATGCTGTCGGCATTGATAAATTCATTGCATTTCTTCGAGCTTACGTTGATGAATATGGCGGCCGCTTAGTTACCTCTGCCGTAAGTTAATGGATTGTTTTTAAATTTTTTAAAAATAGTGTCTCAGTTTATTTGTTATTATTAATGTTATACATATTTTTATATTGCTTTTATTTTGTGTTATACATATTCTTATTAAATTTTAATTCAACAATTTCAACTTCGGTGCAAAATTTTATGAATATACTCTCATTGCTATCTTTTTCTTGAAATTGTATCTGCTAATTTTTGTACAATTATTATCTTTTATTTATATACCTCATCCATTTCCCCTTCAAATTGAATTAAAATGTGTTTGTTATTCTTTCCAATCTATGCATGTATTTTTCTTATGTGGTTCCAAAAACGCTTGTATAATTATATTTTATTATTATAATCTCATTGAAAACCTTCGTCAACTTAATTTTGAGTTTACAACTACTAATGTTCAACTCCATAGCAGGGATCTGTCCAAACATTTTGTGACAGGTCCAGTTTTTGTAAAATTGTGAAAAAATTAATCCTACTTAGTGAATAAAAAATAAATACTGAGTCATATGCTTTCAACCAGGGTCCTGCTTTTACGAATTTGTGCAAATAAGATCTGGTTAATGCAAAAAACTTTTTCAAGGAGTTTTTAAATTGTAAATAGATACAAAATTATGCTCAGCACTGTAAAATTATAATAAAAAAAATTAAATTTTCAAAAATAAACAGCAATTGCTGCTTCTAAATTAGAGTTGCAACATACACATATTTGGTATTTAGCCTATACTGCTGAACGCAGAATATTCATTTCGGATGAATAATGGAAGAAGCGTTTGCCGAAGGCAAAACTTAATTTGTTTACATCCATCTTTCTTGTTTTCTCCCCTGGGAAGGGTTTATTCGATTAACAAAACAATGATGAAGATAAAAAAATTTGTGAAGGGTCCAAGTAAAAGAAAATCCTTTGGTGAATTGTCCGTTTTTAAGTTAAAATATTTTGTGAACCCATATTTCTTCTTAACAAACCCCTGCATAGCCTCGTCATTTTGAACCCAATCCAGAAGACAAGGGAACTCCTGCATCAAGTATTAGGAGAAATTTGCCTTTGTGGAAGACTTTTTTTTTATGGAACTAACCCATATTTGTGTAACATGGTGAGATAAATGGAGAAATAAATTAATTTATATTTGCTCACAACCAATTTTTTATGTTTTAGGTGAGAAGAAATGGAAATTTTTCTTGACAATCATCTGTATTGTGTTAATCTATGAATTATGATAAGTTAAGAAAAGCATTTCATTTTGAAAAATTTTTTTGTACTGAACGGGATGAGGAAAATTCATATGGTTCCTCAAATTGCTAGTAATAGTATTATTTGCAGCAACTGACCATTTATATAATCTACATAAACTAAAAAATTTATTCACAATTTTTACCTTCTTCATCAGCCAGTAATCCAAAATATTTACCACAAAATACTTTATAGTAAAATACTTAATTCAATAAAATAATTTATAGTAAAATACTTCATTTTTCAGTAAAATAATTTTTTAACTGAGCAGATATCTTTTTAGATTCTTATTCTTGTATTTTAATGTACGTTTCTTTAAAATTTTAGGAATTCTTATCTATGTATTTCAGGCACTTCCCATACATTAAGTAAGTATAAGTTTTATAATTAATTTTTAACTTATATATTTAAAGTTTAAATTGTGTATGTTCCATTTTTTGTTTTTGCTATTTTCCAAAGTTATTATACTGTTTCAATAAAAAATTTCTATTTTTTAAAAACTAATCAATCATTTTTACCTTATTTTAAATATTAATAAAAAAAGTTAAATGAATGAAACCTTTAAAACAAATTGCAGATATTTCAAGAACATTCAAGTTATTTCAGTGTTAAATAAAAAGAATGAATTGACAAATAGTAGATTGTAGTATGTTGTTAAAATATAATTGTTATTTACATTTAAAATGTTTAAAAATTACTGTTATTTTTTTAAATATATTTCATAAATTGTGTGGTAAGAAAATAATTGACTGTGTAAAAAAATTTTGTTCTCTGTAGCTAACTAATTTTTAAAATTTTTTAATTAGTAATTCATTTTTAAAAAATTTTGGTTTGCATAAATATCAGGACTAGTAAAGTATTTATACTAATAGCCAATAAAAAATATAAATAAAATGTGGATAAATTAGCCAATAAAATGTGGATAAATTACATATCTTAAAGAGTATTGAGGGGTATCTTTTTTAATTTAGTTAAAATTTACTTTTATGAGCTTTTAGTTGAGTAGCGAAATCATAATCAAAATTTTTGTATTATTTATTACTTATATTCTTAAAAAAAGGGGTTATTTAAGTTTTTAAATGGAAATTTATTTTCAGAAACATTTTCACTATCAATGATATTTATGAAAATTGGCTGCATAATTCAGGTATTCCAGAGGTAAGTTTTTGAGAAAATAACAATTATATTTCATTTATTTTGTGTTCATCATTTCAACCTGCTTATATTTGCAAAAATTGTGCTTTTAATATTGTATTAATACTACCAAAGATATATCTATTTAAAAGGAATAAAACAAAAGAGAGATTAACGGAGAAAATTTTAAAAAATGTTAATAAGAAGTTTCATTTACGGTGTATAAGCTGCAAGTACGTAGAACTCACAAAATAAGTAAAGAATATAGAGAAAACATGGAGAGAAAAATGTAAAGGTTTTTGAAGGAGGTGAAGAAAAAAAATTATTAAAAAATTCTTCTAAAAAATATTCAAAAATTAAAAAGTTGAAAAACAAAATAAGGAAAAGATATAATCTTGTCATCAGCTCACCCAATTATATTTGAAAAAAAGTCGTATATCTATGTTAGTATTGTGTTATATAACCAAATCTTTATATTTTTTCCATGTTTTCTCTATATTTTTAACACTCTTTCTCTATTATATATTTATACATACATTATATACATACTTACATTATACATATACATACATTATATATATATATAATTTTCTTTCAGGCTATTTTAAATTCATCCATATCCAAAAACAATCAGTTGTTTTCTGAGGTTGTTGATGAGGTAATTGGATTTTATATTAAATTTAATTTTAAAAAAGTGAAATTCTAAATAACTCTCGAGTTAGCTGTCAATTACATTGCATTTGTAAGTTCATTTTAGCTTAAGTTCATGTCAGAATTATGTCATATAAATCGCTTTCAATTTTATTCATAAATCTGTGATAAAAATAGCAAACTATTTTCACATTTTAATGAGTGTTTTCTTTTTTCTTCTTTAACTGTATCTTTATTATGTTTTGACAATCTTTTTTTTAATATTTTTTTTGTTATCATTTAATGTTTCATTCTTTAGTTCTCCCTAATATTATTTTATATCAATGATGTAAATGATTTTTTTTTTTACCTTTTCTTTAATTGTTTTTAATTCTCGTCAAAGTGTTTGTTTCTTTAGCTGTTAAAATGTAATGCAACTTAGTTTCTTTGAGCTGTTATGTTCAAATTAAGTCTCATTGTTGAAATTTTTGCATAACTTAACACTTCTGATTTCCATTTTTAAATAATCAGATTTTATTAAAAACTCTTTTTTTTAAATTTAATTTTAAATGTTTTTTTCCTTCTTATTATAATTTTTTTAAGTATATATTTTGTTAATGTGTTTATTAATATAGAATTGGTTATTAAAAAGTGTCTAATTTATAATTTTTATTTAATTTTTTTATTTTATCAAAATCAAATAAAATATATTACAATGCTTGCATTTTTATGCTGCTTTTGCGTACAAATATCTTATGTTAGGAAGGGTCTATAATATTTTTTCCTAGTTGTTATTATTATTATAATTTGTATATGCTTAATACAAAGCTGCCAACTTTCTCTGCTTTGTCAGAAATCAGCTTCAAATTTATGCACCAATGCATGAATCTTGAGATTTAATATGAAGTTACCTTACTTTACAGCCGTTGATAAATAATTAAAATATATATATATATATATATATACTTTTCTT